TCCGTGTCCAGTGAGTCTAGATGCAATGTGCCACCCGTGCCTGCTCACAAGAACAGTCAGAAGTGCCAACCTTGTCCACATAGAAGGGGACACGATGAAGACCAAACAAGTGACTGCCAGAGCCAACAAGGCAGGAGCCCCAGGAACACCACAATCAGAAAGGTATGCCCCGGTACTTCATGGACCCCTCAAGACCCAGACTCAAGCCTTTGTGGAAGCAGAGGTCCTCAAAGCCCCAGCCCCAACAGGCCCAGTACCTGTGATGACCACGACCCCACTCCAGCCGTGCCTGGTGCCCACCATAACAATGAGCAAGACTCCACCCCAGACGTATCCGGCAGCTGCATTGACTAAGACCCCACTTCAGTCATGCCTGGCATCCATGATGAGCAAAGCCCCACCCCAACCATGCCCAGCACCCACAGCAGCAACAGCCAAGACCCCACCCCAGGTGTATCCAGCAGCCCCAGTGGCCAAGACCCCACTCCAGTCATGCCTGACAGCCATCTTGAACAAGATCCCAACCCAGCCATGTCCAGTACCTGCAATAATGATAACAAAGACCCCACCTCAGCCATGCCCGGCAGCTCCAGTGACCAAGACCCCTGCTCAGATGCGACCAATGGTCTCAATGACCAACACTGCACCCCAAGCACGACTGGCTGCCATGATGGCCAAAATCACACCCCAGATATGCCTGTTGACCTCGATTATCAAGCCCCCAACCCAGACGTGCGCAGTGTCCATGATGGCCAAGACCCCACCCCAGATGTGCCCAGAGCCTGTGATGGCCAAGACACCAATGCAGACATGCCCGATGCCTGTGATGGCCAAGACCCCACCCCAGATGAGCCCGGTGCCCGTGATGGCCAAGACCTCGATGCAGACGTGCCCAATGCCCATGATGGCAGAGATCCCACCCCAGACATGCCCGGTGACTGTGATGGCCAAAACCCTGCCCCAGACGTGCTCGGTTCCCGTGGTGTTCAAGACCCCGCCTCAGACGTGTCCAGTGCCCGTGATGGCCAAGACCCCACTCCAGACATGCCCGGTGCCTGTGATGGCCAAGATCCCACCACAGATGTGCCCAGTGCCTGTGATGGCCAAGATCTCACCACAGACTTGCCCAGTGCCTGTGATAGCCAAGACCCCACCCCAGAGGCGCCTGGCGGCCACAATGGCCAAAACCCCACTACAGACATGTCCAGCAGCCACAATAACCAAGACCCCACCTCAGACGCCCCCAGGGGCCTCAATGACCAAGACCCCTCCCCAGGCGCGTCTCACAGCCATGATCACCAAGACCCCAGCCCAATTACGCTCGGTGGCCACAATCTTCAGGACCCTGTGCCTGCTCCCTCCCGCAGCTGGAAATCTGAAAGCTTCACCTCCAGAAGCCATGGCAGCTGGGATTCCCAATACCTTGTCCCACATACGTCTGAACAAACCAAAGACCAAGGCTGTGGTGACCGTGCAGCAGACAGCAGGCGTGGTCAAAGTCTCGTCCCGTTCACATTTGACTGAGAGAAAGGTGAAATACTGCCCCCCACCACATCTAGGGGCTGGGGCTCCAAAGTCTCCAGCCAGACCTCTTTTGGAAGCCGAGAAAATCAAGGCCTTCTCCCAGAAACAGGTGAAAACAGCAACCAAGTCGAATACCAGTGTGGCCATGGAAGTAGTGGCTGAGGACAGGAACAAAGTCTCACCACAGGCACGCCTGAGGACAGATGTCGTGAATGTTCAGACCCAGGTGTATGTGCCTATAGAAACAGCTGTGGTTTTACCCCAGGCACAGTTGGGCACCTGTCCGACCAAGGCTTTGCCCCAAGCACAACTGGCCACCTGTTCAACCACAACATCACCCCAGGGACATCTGCTTGCGGAGCTGACTGCAACCCTGCCCCAGGCACATCTGGGTACGTGTCTGTCCAAGGCCCCACCCCAGGCACATCCACCTGCCAAGCCGACCACGGCCCCATCCGTGGCATATCCGGGCACGTGTCTGACCAAGACACAGTCCCAGGCACATTTGGCCACAGGAGTGATAAAGGTCCAGTCTCAAGCATACCTCCCCACCGGGCTGACCAAGGCACAGTCCCAAGACCAGCTTGTCACAGAGACAGCCAAGTGCCTCTACCCTGCCCACCAGGCTGCTGAGCTCAGCAGCAAGACCAAGTCCCAGCCACTCCTGACTGGTTTTAAGGCCTCCACTCAGCCCTACCAGCACGTTGACTCCCTTGGCACTTTGTCCCAAGCCAAGACAGAAGACAGACTGACCCAGCCTCCAGCCCACAGCTACATTCAGGGCAAAGCCACCCAGGGCCCATGCCAGGGTCCCTCCAAGACCCAGAGTATGCTGGTGCCTCTGCTGGCATCCTCTGGACACCCCACATGTAATGTTGAATCCTGGGGCGACAGTGGGGCCGCCCGGGCCCAGCCATCGACCCCCAGCTCAGCCGCACCCAGCCAGGAGGAGCTGGCAGCCTCCCAGCTGGCCTCCCTGTGTGCAGAGCTAGCCACTGTGCTGGGTTCTCAGGAGGACCTCCGCACCCTGCTGGTGAAAGCCCTCTCCCAGGGGGAAGTGAGGGCAGCACTGAACCAGGCCCTGTCTAAGGAGATCCTGGGTGCCACGATAGCCAAGGCCCTGCCCCAGGGCATGTTGGGCACAGCGCTGATGAAGGCGCTGTCCTGGGGTGAGCTGGGTGCTGCCCTGTCCCGAGTCCTTTCCCAGGGTGAGCTGCGGGCAGAACTCACTAAGGCCATGCAGGGAAAACTGGTAGATGTGCTGAGCAGAGCCCTGACAGAGGAGGAGCGGGCTGCCCTGAACCAGGCCCTGTGTCAGGGTGAGCTGGGTGCCGTCCTGAGCCAGTCCTTGTCTCAGGCAGCCCTCAAGACTGGACTTGTCCTCCCTAAGGCCGCTGCTTCAAAAACGGCGGGGAGGGGGATGATGGTGACGCCAGCCCCGGTGGAGGTGGACTACAGGGGGAGACACTCAACTGCATGGGGGCCCACCCCGGGCCCTGTGAGACCACAGCTCAGCAAGGTCAGCGTTCCCCAGGACCGGACCTGGGAGGGCTTCATCACAGACAGGCCCAGTGGGCTCTTGGAGGAGATGGGGGATGGAGCCATGGTCAGGGGGTCACCCTGCTTGTCCACGATCTCTGTGGGTGCCTCCTTGACCAGTAGGGTGATCACCACCATTCTTCAGTATCCCCTAATGGCTTCCCTGGACCCCACTCTGTCATGGGAGATGGGGCCCCTCAGGGACTCTTCCTTAAACCCATCTCTGACCCCCAAGGACAGTGAGGAAAACATGTGCCTGCACCCAGGGGCCAGCGAATTGGCATCAAATCTCAACCCCATGGCTAGTGATGCAGGCCCCAATTTGCCTAAGCCACCCCCCTTTCAGCTGCCCCCCCATCTGTGGCAGCCGCTCGTTGCCAATGGCATTGCCCCAAGTACCAGCCGGCCATCTGTGGCCAGTGGCACTGCCCCGAGCTCCCACAAGCCACATGTGGCCAGCAGGGTGGCCCCACGTCTGTCGGCATCGTCGGGGGAGGGCAGGGTAGCCCCAGCCAAGGCTGCCGACACTGTGGGTGGTGGGAGCGCTGCCCACTCCCACCAGTGTCCCATCACCTTTGGGGAATCTACTTGTTGGTGTCAGCCCTCCAGGGTCAGCAGGAGACCCCCCGGGGTGTATCGGCCATCAGCAGCCAAAGGTCTGCAACAGCCATCTGTGGTCCCTGAGGAGA